TTATAGAAAATGCGTTTTTCTAAGGTACATAAACTTTTCGGATTGATTGTATAGCCAATACATCCTTAAGCGACGCAATCACAGATATCATTCTTGTCTTGACGCCTTTCAAATTCGTCCAAGCTTTCGACTAACCGCGTAAATAAGCGTGATGCAACGATAATTACGTGATACGCGGACACAAAGTCGCCGTTGGTGCTTTCTGGGATCAAATCAAGTTGGTGACCGTTGTCCTGGTTAAATTTTCGGTTCAGATCCCTCATGACTCACGAAACCTCGGCACGTTACGAAAATCCTAACTGTTAGATCCGCTCCCGTATTCTCACGGGAATATATAATTGTAACTATCATGACGCGATATTTTATCGTTCCGACCTTCGACCTCGATTATAGCGAGTTGTACAAAGTCTCGTGATTGCCATAATTCTACGGAGGTTTCCCTTCGTTTATTACTACGATTAATTCTATTTCTAATGCTGATAGACGTTTTTCTAATGGAACGAGAAACAAATCACGTGACGGAACACATGAGTAAATTTGTAATAACATAAACAGAACGATTTGTATTTATCGCGAAGAGAACTTTGAAATGCTAGTTCGACAAATATTGATTGGTCAGTCACTTTTAAATAATTTTAAATAAGGAAAAAGCAGATTAAGAAACAAACCATGCTTAGTTCCTCCGAGATGGAAACGCTCTGTCTTGAAGCCTAATATCGACTGATCCACTGAAATCGTAGTTAGCCTCAGTTGACTCGGTTCATAGATAACCCCTAGATTGATAAAACTGGAATTTCTACATAACAAATTGATTAGATGACAAATTTTCTTTGTCTCCTTTCTCAATATTCATCTGCAGGCTATTATTTGGGACGAAGATAAGTCGAATCATTATTTCATAACTTAAATGGCCTCCAGCGATAAGCTGTTTCTGTGACGGTCATCAAGCATGCTTTATTTTAAACCGTCACGTGTGAGATCTGGTTGAACTCGACTGCATTTACTGACACGTTACTATCGACAGATCTTTTATGCAAACTTACTTCAGTTTACAAACATACATATCCACTAACGGGGCAAAGTCTTGTTATCAAATCTTGTAACAACTTCGCGAATCTCTTCCATTTCGTACGACGAAGCTTTCTTATAAAATTCGTGCAATAAATAAATAATTCAAACGACGTCATCCTGTGAAAAATATGCTTAGAACCGTGTATTGAAAAATACTTGTAGAGAGAACTGAATTTTCAGCATACCTATTTCTTGCCCCAGAGAAACTATAAGGAACGACTGAAAAGAACACTTTTTTACAACGATCAGCTTTGAGGCAAAGTAGAAAAGGTGAAACCGGCACGTTCTCCGGCTTGTACTTTTGCTTATGCAAGCTTAACCAAGGCCGTCTGTAAGCACACGCAGATCAGATATTCAAGAAAAAGACACGATTCGAGCTTGAAGAAAGCTTCATCAGTTCTTATAAATTCAGATTCGTACGCTCGCTTTGCCAGCGAAAATCTCGTCAATTCTTTATCAACGGAACGAGCGAAACAGAGATTTCTCCGTTCTCCCCTCGACGGAAAAACCCAGTTATTATTATAACGTTTACCGACCGTAAGAGCGGCGTTACGTCTCTATTACTAGACTGCAGAGTTTTGTGATGTCGATTTAAAAAATAGAATTGTAAATCGAAAGGAGTATAAAGGATGGTTGATTTGTAAACCCGCGAGGTTCCCAAGTTCTCTTGTCTCGAAACCGAAGTTTGACGCGTGTTACCGAGTTCCGCGAACCATTAGCGCTTACTCGCGGTCGGAACTAGGGAACTCGGAATACCTCGCGTCGTCATTAATAAAAGGAGACCAGAAGCTTTAACGAAAGTACTTTATTGCACTCACAGAAGATAAGTGTCACGTGATAAGTTACAAAAATTCTCAACTCTATTATGTACAAAGGTGTGCTCCGATAGAAAAATACAATTTTACAAGTTCAAGTGCCACCACGGCTGCACTCGACGATTCTCCGCCTCTCTCGAAGCAATTCTAAAAATTTTGCTCTCGGGCTGCCGGGGTATCTGAGTTTTTCAAGTAGCTGCGCGGTTTCGACGCTCGAATGATCTTTCGAACACGAGCATTTGCAGCCATTGATTTTTCGTTGATCATCCGTTTCCTGCAAATGATGGCTTGCTTGTCCGGTTCTCTTTGGTGAAACGACGTAGCCAGTAGTTCTTTTATCGATTGCTTCAGAATCGAAATTACGTATGTAATCATCGAGAGTCGAATCTGACCACGGCGAGGAAGGATTCGCTCTGCTTAGGGGTAAGAAATCGTCTTCCAACGTGGATTCAAAGTCGTCCAGGGTCTTCCCAAAGGACAGATTTCCTGTTACTTCATAAGTTTCAAACTCTTGATCATCGCCAGAAGTCTCTAAGTTAATACTCCCTGTAATATCTCCATCAAACAGTTCCTTGACGTAATTACGTTTCTCACGAAATTTCGATCCACCGTCCGATAAATTCGATCGAGGATTGGAATTTCGTTGGCAGATGGAATTGGCGACGTTCATCAACTGAGTAAAGATCTTCTTCTCCAAATCATCGTCCTCCTTCTGCTTCGCAAATTCCGTCCGATCGAACGATTCGAAATCATTCGAGATTGGCACGCGAGGATCCATGCTAGGACTCGCTAGACCCAGTCTAGCGCCAGCAGATTCGCAGTCGATGCCGTACTTTTCTTTAAGCAGTTCGTTATGCCTGTCGACCCTTCGAATGCAGTCCTCCAGCCTCTGAATACCTTTCAGACATCTCTCGTACGACTCCGTCGAAGTCACGAAATCATCGTCCACTTCTGGATGGTTAGTCACTTCCTTGGAATTCACCTTTCGACTCGCGTATTCCAGGTAATCGCGATTCCAGCTTCTTCGTCGCGCCCTCCGATTGCCACGTGCGCGACTCGACGACGTAACGTACCTTCAACAAAAAATATTTCATTAAATGGATGATGAAAAGAAATGATACAAGTGTTTAATGTAACTGGTATCATAATTCATAAGACTATATCATTTCCTTGTGAAACAAATTTGGCAAACAGATCGATACAAAATCGAAACCAATAGTCTCTCGTCTAGGCTTGGACTAAAGCAAACTTTCGAATGACCCTCGACCCCTGAAAATGTCAAGAACGTTTCCCTTACACGATTGTTCCTTACCTATCGCTCTTCCTTCCGTTCACGTACTCACTGATGGAGTTCAGATTTCGCATGAAGGTCACAGCCTCGCTCAGATACTCCTCGAAGACGTCTGTTCTTATTTCGTCGTCGTCCTCCTCCGAGCTCCACTCGTCTTCCAACTCTTCCATTGAGAACTTCACCTTCTTGCGATTATCTGTGCTCGCCTCAATTGACTCTATAGAATCTCTGATTCTTTCGGAGCTACATTGTGGCTCTTCTCTTGAATCTTCTGACGCCAGACCGGTTCTGTCTTCGTTTTGAGAATCATCTGTCTCATCATTGGAAGATTGAACAGGTTCTGCCAATTTCTTTCTTCTCTTTTTGATGATCGATTTCAGAATTGGTTTCGAATCACGTTTCGAGTTACTAAGATTCTCTGATATATTAGAAAATGACACTTTTTTCTTATCAGAACTCTTTGCGTGATTTGAACTGGTATCAAGTGTATCATCGATTTCTGCAGACTTGTAAGAAGCCTCGAGTTTTTGTACACCCAGAATCAAAGATTTGTAATCGTGTATCTGAGTACAGTCCTCTGTAGGTTTCTTTTTTGGAAATTCTATTTGCACATCCTCGAAATCGCAGTTAACAGACTCATCGTTCTCCGAAGATTTTGGACAATCCTTTTTGGTATGCGCCACTACGTCGGGTGGACAGAAATTATCGCGTTTGTCCATCATCTGCTTCATCTTCGGGATCACCGATTCGTTATCAACGTTATATTCATTGTAATCCAGACTGTCATCCGAAAAGGCATGATCATGATCCATGCTAGCAGACGGTATGTCCGTTTCATCGTCTTTTAAATCGGAATCCTCTTGGAACGTGTTCGTGAATCCATGCAGATTTCCTGTGACTCCAAGCGAGAGTCCTGAGTCTCCTGAATTTTCATTGATTTCTAGTTCCCTGAACGACGGGACGATTTGTTCATAATTAATAGGATTAATTTTGGTTGAAAATGAAACAGGGACCTGCCAATTCCTCAAAGGATCTTGGTAAACGACTGAGCTGGGTCGCAGACCGCGTTTTCGATTGATAAACGTCTCCGTAATTAATCCGTCCCTGATAAATCCTTCATCCTGGTATCCTTCCGAAGTCTCCTTCGCCTGGCACACGTACGACGTCCCCAGGGAATTCCTAAAAGTAATGGAATTCCTGGCCCTGGACCTCTCGACCCGCGAATTCTTGATCGCATTGTTAGGATCCTGAAAGATGTTCTCTATCCTGAAGACCTTACTATCGGTTTGACTCTGTATAGATTCCGTTGGACGACAAGCCTCCTCCCACTCCGTTTGAATTTTTTCATCTTTAATCAATGGCTTCATCTTTTGCTGCGCATCATCGTTATCCACTGTAATCCTAGACTCCAACGTATTCGAGCTCTCAATAGTGATACTGATGGTGTCTGGCAATCGTATAGAAATCACACTCTTCTCAGGATTGCCCGTTTCGTTTTGCTGAACGCAGCACTGCCTGGTGCATCCTTTATTCTCGGATCGCATCTCCGATACGGTTCTCCGATCAAAGGCTTCCGGTCGCGGCGGCGTCTGAACAGCAAAACTTCGACACGAAGAGAACATGCTCGTATTCGTCGAACTTTCCGCATATAATACTCTTCTATCAGCCTCGTGGAGATCCGACACCTCGGTGCTGCTTAAGTTACTCTCCGCATAATTCTGAGCGTCGTCCGATAAAATCCCAGAATCATTCCGCGGCGAATGGATCTCGTAATCAAACTCCTCGAGGTCGTTCGCCAAGCTAGCCGCGTCTTTGCACCTGACGATGTTCGTCTTCGGTTTATCAGTCAGAGTAGAGATTTCCTTCATTCTCAACACCGGCGTCCTTTTATTCGAGTACTCGCAAAACTCATGATGATCCGTCAGCACTCCCACGTCTTGCAAAATTACTTCGGGCGTTTCCGTTAAGGACGCGGTGTCCTTCATCCGAACGGTGAAACATTCGGTCTGAGTGTCCACGCAGACTCTCCTTCGTTTGCCCAGCATTTTCCTCGAGATCTCCTGCAGCTTCATTCTAGTAACAGACTTGATGTCGGCGGTGGACTCTGGCGGGGAACGCATCTCGGAGGGGTCCTCCGAGTGCTTCCGGCTTGCGTACAACCTTTCCGTCACAGCGGCCACGATTTCCGCTCGTTTCGCTCTCTGAATAGGCGTGTGATTCTTTAACGACGACTCTCCCTCCAGAGAGCTCTTCCTGCGCAACAGTTTGTCGCGGGCCAAGCTCGAAATAAGGATCTGTTCGTCCTTCGAGCTGCTAGAACTACTATCTTTACTGGTCTTTCTCTTGAGAGTCTCTAAACTAGGCTTCCTCGCATGACTCTTTGACTTCGAGCCTTGATCCTTTAAACTCTTGTCAGAATCGTTGCTGCCTTTCCTCTGCAGCTGATCTATGCCCCAGCTTCTGTTCGAGATCTGATCGTCGATCTCTCGGATGTTGTTCAGCTTTTTTACACGATCAGGAATTGTGCAACGCTTCTCTAAGTTCGTATGCGATCTCTCTAAAGGGAACAGAGGCTCTCTCTTCTTTTGGATCGTCTCCACCGAACCGAACTTCTTCGAAGTGTGCAGATTCGATAACAGAGAAACTGGTAACACATCCACCGAGTCCTGCTTGCGAAATTTTGGCTTCGCCCTTGACCTCGTGTAGATCTCGGCTTCGGACGTGTGGCACGAATTCACCGAGTCATCAGGTTCGATGCTGTCCTGTTTCTCAGATCCCTCAAAAGCTTCGTTGACCCTTTCGATGAATTCAATCGGTTCCTCGTTAACCTCGTCCGAGCAGATTTCCTCGATCTGCGCGCTAGACTCCTGGAGATCGTCGTCCGGTTTTATTAAAACGGCGACTAACGTTGGGATATCGACGAACACGGATTCATGGATTTCATTGATTTCGTCCTCTTCTTCGTTCAGCTCAGTCACTTTGGCTCTACTGTAACTGAAACGTTCGCCAGCTACGAATTCCAAGGAACCGAATTTCTTTATCGTGTCGACCTCGCGCGCGGTTCCGCTGTCACTGGAATTCGATCTTCGCAACGGGACAACGCTTCGTTCTTTTTCTATCTTCGGCACCGATTCTGTCTTCTGGGTTTCATTGTTAGACTCCGGATCTTGTTCTATTGATTGTCTAGATGCCACTTCTGACAGTTGATTCGATCCAGTGGGTTGATTCTGACAGCAGCACAGCAGCGCCTTGTCCGATATATTCTGTGAACAAGAATCTTTCCTATCCATTCTGCCATATGTATCTCCTCGTCATCGAGAATAAGCATTTTACTTCGCATAAAAATCCGCAGTCCGAATATCATCACTTGAACGCCGAGGCTAATTAATGACCGATTACGTAACGATGGACAGTGTAAAATGTACACGCAGCATGGAAATACGGATCACTCGTTAAGCTTGTACACCTGCGAACTGTATTTTATCAGCAATCGTTGTGGCATCGCGAGCCACTGGGAAGGATCGCGCAGGCTCCTATCAAATAAACGATTCATGCATTTCATTTGCGTAATGACGATACGAGTTTACGTTAGCTTCGGACTCGGATAATAAACTCGTCCGATTTATCCCGGTCTGCTCCATTTGGAAACCAGACCCATGCAGGATTTCCCACATCCAAAATCGATTCCCGGTTATAAATGAAATGATTTCCCGCGTCTTTGGTAATTGCGAATTTATTTTTCTCTTCGCTCCTTTCATACCGATGTTCGCACGGGCAACACCGATTGTTTCTAAACGCAGTGTACGATTTTTAAAGCGATAGCGGCGTGCAGATTTTTATACGTTCGAGTTCGAGAGAATAGAGTTTGTACAGAACATGTAGATTGTAGATCTTGACAAGTATTTTAGGATTCCTAATAGAACTTGCCTTCTCGAGTAGCAACGACTTGAGCCTGTCCACCTCGGCTCTTAACTCACGGACGATCCTCGCTACAGGATCCTCGTTAACCACTGGTCGATTGACCACGCTCTGCGCTCTTTGAGCGAAGCGCAGTGTGTGCGCGGTCTCGTTGTAACTTCCGCTCGCTGGCGAAATTGCTGCAAACGAAACACGCAAATGCAATCGGGATTCAATTGAAATAAGTGATAGCAAACATCTACAGTCGCGTCTCTTGCGTTTCCCTTCTGTAACGACGTATTTGTCCCTCGACTCAAAACGAAATTGAATCTTTTGATAAAATCGACAAATCCTATTTATTTTATATCGACCGTTCTAATGAATTTAATTTATGACATTTTTGTATTTTGATATGAGGATTATAAATCTGATTTAAAATTGTTTATAATCCTTATACCTGTGGCGATCTAAAAACGAGCCCAGCACCGGAATAGTTTGATCTTTTAATAGGATACTGGAAGAGGAACGTACTCGCGGTCAATCATTAACGCGGACACTGAATATTAAACACACCCCACCCTTGTACTCGGGTGCTGGTCGATAATAAGCCCGAATGCTATTAGCAATTCAATTGGACGTCGATGATCATCGATTTGGAATATTTCGCCCCGATTAATTATACGCGATCGCGGCCACAGCTGCGAATATTTGCCGACTCTTTCGTTTCACGCGGCAGCGTTAATTACCCGATCGTTTTTCTACGCTAATACGCATTAGACGCGTTAGATGGTTCCCGTTCACCTGGAAACTGCAATCGTCGGTACCTACACCTCCGTTCATAAATTTTAAGACACTTTCACGTATTTATTGCTCATCGATAAGTCCGATATTAAATCATACGATTAATTGTAACTAGTTTTAGTGAAACACACAGAAGTTATGAACGGGGGTTGTGTGTAACAAAGAGTTTGAGGGTTGTTGGTCGCCTCTGGTAACGAAATCAGGGCAGAACGAAATCGGTCGGGCACAAACGACGGATCAGTCTTTTTCGAATTCAAACGTCAGGCCACTTGTCACGTGGATAAAAAAAAAAATCTCTCTGTCGAGAGATCGGAAATTGCGTAACGAAAACATTTTTCAATTGAATGGGACCGAGTCTCGGCGCTGTTCGACGGGTTAAAAAGCTGACCTGTGTGTCAGTCAATACTTGCGGTGCTTTTCATTCGATCAATAAGCCCCGTTTGCTGCTACAAATATAATATAAATAAATCTGTTTCCCTTTATACGTTTCATAATTCGTTCTGCCCTGATAAGTGATAATCTCTCTCTCTCACTGTATTTCCTCTACGTGCCACGTGTAACTACGTTTCAACTTCTACAAGATTTACACTCTCGACCTATTTACGAGAGTTACTACCAAAACTTGGTTCATTCAGTGAACCAAGGGTACCGATTCGTTGCCACGGTCTCGAAAAATATTAACCAAAACTGATCGAAACTACTGACAGTGCTCCAAGATCATAATATAAATCGTTGGAAAAAGCGTATCCGGATTTAAAATAATTTTCAATACAATTGAAATTGATTTTCATATTTTAATACATTAATAAATCAGGGCTCGTATTATTTGATTATCTGGAACGGAAACGGAAATTATCATACTACATAAAATGAACATATTAAAACACCTTTTACAATTGTAATGCCCGATGTTTATTACTGTTAAACATGTTGGAAAAATTCATGCGTTAAAACGTGATTTCATACACTATGTTGCTTCATGAATTCCTGTTGATACGATCAACAATTTTAATCCGGATATTCCTTTATAACAAACCCGTGTATGGCCAATGAAAAAAGTCTGTATGCAAATTTTAGTCAGACACGTTGCGTTGATAAAGACTTTTTCAATTGACTTTTTAACTATCTACGAGACATCTACGCGTTAAGAATCAGCGTTTCACCCCCTTTCGGGGTGAAAGGGGGTGAAACGTTTTTTCAAGTGCTCGCGACTTGGAGAAGCTTTAAAGGATTTCGTATTTACCGATTCCCGTCGCAACGCTTTCGCGCCGGTTATCGAATTTTAATTTCCGCGCCTTAGCTCGCCTGGAAAAGCATTTAAACCAATTACCATCCGGGGAGCAGAGCGAGTTCGACGGCGGCGCCGGGTATATTCGCGGAGAGATAATTTCATGAATCAGAGGCTCGCGATAATAATTCTCCCTCCGGCAATTAACTGGAATTTATGGAAAGCTGGAGTTAAGTGGCGCGAGGGAAGGAATGGAAAAGCGGCGGCCAATTTTTTTTCCTCGCGTCCCGGAAGCCGAGTCGTCTTTCCTAAATTAATTATCGCGATCTCCTGGTGGGAGAAGTGAAACAGGAATCGAGTAACTGCATTTCGAATGGGGGCTACTTCGAAGGAAGCGAATCTGGAACGGACGTGTAAACGGATTAGCGAGGGATCGTAGCGAAAAGAAAGCTCGGACGTGTAAATCATCGTTTAAGTGGATACACGCTGGATGCTGCTAAAAATAAATGCGACGAAGACGAAGGAGAGGAAGACGGGAAGAGAAGATCAAAGAGAAGAGAGACACTTACTGGCGAGCATAATGGTAGTGGCATTTCCGCCAAGTGCGTCCTTCAACAGCCAAGTAAGCGAAGAATCTCTATAAGGGATGAACCTCCTCCCTGGACCACTTCCGGTCGAGCCCCTCTCCGCGAGAGCCGATATCACGTTCCCTAGAGCTACTAGACTCTTGTTTATATTCGCGCCCTCCTGTGAACACGCGTCACCCACGATTTTTCATTCTCCTCGACTACACTGGATTTATCGTCCTTCGAAGAGCCAAATGAATATGAAACTTTCCTTTACTGTTATTATCATATGAATTAAATATCGAGATGACCCGCTGCATCGATCTTTACCTAACGGAATGAAACAGCGAAATAAACGAATCCGTGCTACTTAAATTGGCACGGGCCAACAGGAAGCTCCTCAATTTCTATCTTGAAAGGGTCTATCGATCCGTAGTCCAAGACATTATTTTTGGAAAAGTGACTCACTTTCAGTCGATGAACGCCGCTGCACGTGGCCGCGCTCTCGCTGCCCGCCAGATCGACCAGTCGCAATTTGCTACCGCCCCGTCCCGAGTTCTTCTTCGAGGCGCCGACGGCCTGCGTCTCCGTCGCGACGGCTATCGTCAATAAAGCGTGGCTACGACTGCTGCTTGGATTTTGCAACGTCGACGCGGTCTTACGAGCCTTGGTTCCCTCTTCGACGTAGGACATCAACGTCCCCAGCGTGCGGACCACGTGCTGGGTTAAACCTGGCTCAAAAAAATGTTTAGAACGTTCCTCTCGTCCGTTTACATCTTCGCCAATTGAATTGGAAAATAGTAGTCAGGTTTATCTATAAGAATAGCAATGCATTCAGATAGAGCATGGGAAATTCTGGAGGAGCCAATTACAGGGGAAGGTTCGATTGCCGGTACCTTGAACGTAAGGGCCGAGTCGAGGATGCTCGCGAACCCTTAATCCACTGGCACTCGAGGACGACTTCAAAAGATCCCTCACCCTCTCGTTGTATATCTCCAGGTAACTGAAACAGAATTCACCATTACCCTCGTCCCATCGTGTTTGATTGATCGTTCATTTCGCTACTTAATGGATTCCCCGCTCTACATTCAAACGATTCCGCTCATCGAGAGAACTATAGCCGAGGTATTCATGATACGTTAATTAAGAAAACTGTATAGAATCCAGGATACGTTTCGAGAGGAAAGACTGTATCCGGCGTATCGATTTTTTAGTACTTATTCCGCGTCGGGCAGTATTAAATATTGCGCGGCAAATCTGTTGTCCCGAAATGAAGATTGGAAACCAATAAATATCTCGTATCGAGTATTATTCATGTGTATTCAACAAGTACCAGTAAACGGTGTAATCGCAAAGTGACCCAGGCGACACACGCCGAATATCAAAGAGATAAACGCTTGCATACAACGCGGCCGATAATACGAGTCGGTGGTACACGTGAATATTCAACGCGACGCGATTCCGCTTGATGCCCGTAGGAGGTAGAGTACAATTTATCGGTTGCTGGTCCCGAGGCATACTTTTCTCATCGGGCCGCAAGCTCTCGGATCCTCTTAAACTCTTAACGTCATTATCTGCTACGCCGTGCTCGTGAAACGTCCGCACGTGCGACCGTAAATCCGCTTAACAACGATCAGAGTTTCCGAAACACTTTCCGCGCCCCCTTTATCTGTATCGGACTATCAGTAGAGCAACGCGTGTCTCTCGTACTTATTCCATAAGCTCGATACTCGTCCCTTTAATCGTAATCACGATTCATTTGAACGGTACGCGGTCCAGTTCGAGTTGTCCGCTTTAAATCTCGCCGCGCGGATTTTGAATACTGCATTGCAACTATCAGAATTAATTAGTACACGGGAAATTCGTACGAAGCTCGGGAACAACCGCGTCTCTAATGAAACCGTAGAGGCATCAAAAACAGAGTTTCAGAGCGTGTACGCGAATTAATCAAAGCGTAGGGTGTGCAAAAATCAGAGACCGCGGTGAAAAATTGAAACTGTTACGAATTCCCATGAGAAACGTGGGTCCAAAGCGAGCTTTCGACGTCACGTATTTCAGTCGACCACGGAACCGAACTCAAAGTAAATAGGGTCGCCCGGCTTCCGGTTATTGCAAGTATTCAGGAATGCTTCGGTCGCGGTGAATAATTCCCGTGCACGTACCGACGAATATAAGCTTCCGGAAATAAGAAAATCGAACTCCCGCCGGATTCACCTAACCGTTTTCCTTGACCCCGAACACTGCGCCGCGATTTATTTGCATTTACGATCGCTAAATTCGCAGGGAAAATTGGCCCGACCCTTAAAGGCAGCTTTGTAAACTCTTTTCGTTGCGGACGAGTCCCGTGCGAAAAAGCTATTTAAAGTTTCGCCGAGATAACTCTGAACGTCTCTGTCGGTTGGACGCTAACCTGTGATCTGTTGCACTTTGTTCTCCACCTGAAGCATTTATCTGCTAAAATATTTTAGCGACGACGTGTTTACCGGCAATTTCTTAGCTGATAAATTTTACTGGAGTAACATTTAGTTCAGTTTTTGTGGTACGATAAGTCGAAACGGATTCTGATTTAGAATTAGAATGGCTCAGTGTCAAATCTAAGAATACTAAATTTGTTCTCCTGATCGAATGAAGTTAAACTTAAAGACTGTTTCGAGTAGTACAAGAAACGAGTTCTTATAATTTTACAAGAGCCGAGTGATCGGCGTTAATTAACAAAATTCAAAGTAAAAATTAGAGAATCATTAAAGGGTGCAAAGTTGTCGAGTGGGTCTCGTTTTCACCGGTGCAGAGTGCAGGGAAAACGAAAGCTGGCTCTCGTGTTTGCCGGATATTACGGCGAACGTGTCGAAATAAGAATCGATCCACCGACTCGCCTAGCGAAAGGAATAGACAATTTTTTCTGACTCGTCTCTCGGTATTTAATGTTCATTTGAAAATTCGTACACATTATAAGGGGGGATCGTCTTCCGTTTTTCAACCTTCATTCGTTTAATCGAATTGAATGGTCGGGCGAAGATACTGTAATCACGTGAAGCTTAACGAGTCGACGACCCACACCACAGAAAGACTCGAAGTCGATCGGAGGAGACACCGCACGCGGCGTTCACGCGATTCCGTGTAAAACGTTTACGACGCAGTTAGGCCAATATCGATCCTCGATTACTGGGTCAACGGGAGCCGTGATCGCGCATCGAATTGTTGCAATTTCCGATTGAGAATTGCCCCCAATAGGACGTTGTTCCTACGAGCGTTCGGTGCGAGCGTTACACACACACACACACAATCGAAATTCTCGATAATAAATAAATAAAAATCCGTGGTTGGTCGCGTATAAAATATCAACTAGAGCCAGAAATCTGTGGAATTGAAATCGAATTGAATTTGCTATCGGATCGTAATGACCGGGGGTCGAGAAGGGAATTAAAGGTTTCGTTGGCAGTGGCAAAGCGATATTGGTGAAAGGCAGAGAGAGGCGAGAGACAAAGGGGGAAAGGTTCTATCGATCAATCAGCCATAAGTAATGCGGAGCTTTTGATCGGTTACCGTTTCATTGCGGAACGGGAAGAGCGGCACGGCATGCTATCGCGTACGAATTCGGCGACTTAATCACGTTAAACGCCGATGCCTAATGACGATGATTCCTGATCAATTGCCGACCAACGAATCATTCGGCCAGGGCACACAACGCCGAAACATTTCGACCCTGACCATACCAAGGACTCAATAAAATAGTTACTGCGTAAATTGATTGCACGCGCTTCTTATAATTGCTTTAAATCATGCAAACAGTATTTCCATTCTTTCACTTTATACCGCAATATCAATCAAGTAGATATTCGTAAGCAGAAATTATAATATTCCGACGGTCGACAGGATCAATTGAATTATACAAATTCTATTAGAATGTAAAAATTATTTAAATAAGGGGACGAAGATTGCGTATTTATTTTAAAAAATATGGTGAACGGCGTCAGAAATACGATGATTTCGCAGTAAACTCGTGGAATTCGGCCGCGAATTAACGGGGAAAGTGTGACAATTTTCGCGCGACATTAGCCCGTATCGCGTTTATTGCCGGTACGTGTCAATTGTAACCGGGTTGGGTCGTAAATTAAATTATGCTCGGGACACCGGGAGAGAGAGATGCGCGCGTTTATTGACGATCGTACGATTCGCTAACAGGTATAATTAATTGCACAACAAAACCTGAATATCGATCCCCGCGCACGTCGTCGGACCGCGTGTCTTCCAGCCGCGCGTTTAGCGTTTAGCAGATAAAGAGGGACGGGTTAATTAGTTCCTCCTTGCTCGCTTATTTCCGCAGCTGATAAATGAATCGAGTGTTTCGCGCACCCCTTTTCGCGGTAACTGCCAGAAGGCCAAAGCCCACCATTACCGCGAACTTTCCTCTTCTTTCAACGGCTAATAAACCGCGTAACTATTCCTAATAAAACGAGTTCCCTTCGTCGGTGCTAACGAAACTAGAATTAAGGATTCAAGCGTAGAAATATATTATATAAAACCACGTAGAAAAATGTTCGTTTTTAGTAAAAGAAGTTATTCGATTTCCACTGGAACATCGATTATTGTAAACAAATTCGTTTCTTTGCACGTCCATCGGGTGGTGAGAAAATTCTCTCTGCTAATTCTATTTGCTCTGGTTTTCCTTCTGTGCCATCGACGTTTGCTTTCCCTTCCCGTTCCTATGCTTGCGGTACGTTTTAATTTTACGGTCCTCCTCCCAAGCAACAATTCCTTTCCCACATCTTTTTCGATTGTCTTTTATTTCGCGCGCCGGTTCGGGGAACAATCATCGAATCCTTGCCGCTGTTGGTGTGTCTACTTTATTAGATGTATCGAGAAAAAACGGATGTATTTTTGAATTTGTATAGAAACGACAGATTCCACGACCATGTTAATCTTCAATTGCACAGTTCTTTGTTGCCTCGTTCTGTGTTACGGCGTCCAGAAACTTCGCCAGTATCACCGTTATCGTTGCTTCTTACGGCGGCCACCAGCGACAATTCAAGAGACTCCTCTTTCCTTGTGTTTTGAGAATTAAGAAAGCAGTAAATTCGCAATCGTAAAAAGCGGAAACGGGCCATGATTCAAGAGCCGGTTAAGTCAAAGAGAGCTCTCGTTCCCGCGGGAACCGTCTCGGTTGCGTGCTTAAAAGCTGCGACATTCTGTCCTGTTATCAAACGACGCGACGAGCAGCGAGATTGGCTGTAATCGCATTAGAGGGACTTGGGCTTTAATGGACAGTCCGACTTCGAAGGGCACTTTGCAAAAAAGATCTCCAAGGGACTGAGAATCAGTACTACAAATTCGATTATGAATATTAATTAGCTAATTACGTCAGAGTATCCTCAGCTCGAATCGTTACTTAATCTTGTAACCCGAGCGCTTGATCTTGTATTCTTCGTCATGTAACATGTTAAGAATTAAGCTCGTCAAGACGGAAAAGTGATGATGACATAATAATTTATTATTTCTTAAGGTCGCCAGAAGCTAATCCTATTTTATCGTCCTCTCTTCAATCTTGAAACTCTTTTGGTACTAAGTTATGCATTGGTACAGTGCATAAAGAATAAAAGCGTAGCGGCTGTAACCGTAAATTCGCGTATCGTAAAGCTCCCTAAAAACGGTCGATCAGTCGAAAATTTTCAGGAGAAACAGTGTTTACGATCCATTCCATTAGCAGGAATTATTAACGCGTAACGCAACCTAGCTTTCAGATACGTTTTAATTTAAGGGATGCAGGGTAAAATATTTTTCGTGCGCCGCCATTAACGTTCTCATCGCGTCGCTTCGTAAGCACAACGAACGATCCAACAATGTCCGTGTCTGGCGTAAAAAAAAAAAATTCCCATCTAGCTGGCTTTTGTAGGAAAGGAACAGAGCGGCTTTGTCGTTCAAAGTCGAAACAACCTGTATTTTTGTCTAGCAACGAATTGGCCTGCCACTTTTTAATAACTGCCGGTGATCGTATAAACGCGGATTTATCGTATTCCAACGGGGATGAGGGGTGGTCCGTAAATCTGCCGTTTCTTTTTACCGAACCGGTCAATACGGAACAAAGGATGATTCACGGCTCCGGTTGCCGATGATGAACAACGTAAAGACACTCCGCGATGACAAAAACGTTGTTTCGACGAGCGCGCCGGATGGGAACTCGCCTTTTTAACTTCCGCTTCGAGAAATGTTCGCGGAATATTCATCCGATTCCGAGACGAAGCGATATTGTCATTGGAATCAAATTCCATCGTGCCATGATCAATCGTTATTTAATTTATTCCGTGTATGAGTCGTTAATCGAATATTGTGAGAAACACCCTGGAAGGAGCCTCGGTCTAGGATAGAATTTTAGCGAGGCTCCATCGAGGCCCGAAACTTTGTTCGTCGACCCATTTAACGATTTTCCGTCGGCGTAGTGACGAGCCAGCCCGAAAAGAGTAGCGCGGCTGACCGATACGTTTATTCAACGGTACATCGAGCGAACCTTCCCACGTTTCTCAATAGATGAGAGACAGAACCACGATTTTATTATCGACGACTCGAAAACTACGCGACACACTTATATTCCGCGATCGGTCCAATTGTTTCCCATGATATCCAGTGATATTTCGAGTAATTCGAAGAGGCAGATAGAACCAGGATTTACGGGTCGTGGGAACGCGTTTCCGAAATTTGATCGGGCGTCGCAGCTGCGTCCGCGGGGTCGAAAAAAAAATCGCGAGCAATGGGTCCGAACAATTTTTCCACGGCTCTCATCCCCGTTTCCGTTACACGCGCGTAATTTCGAAGTGGCGATAAAACTTGGCGCGGCGTTCTTCGATGGAACGGTCAAAAGAGAGAGAAGACAAAAAAATAGCGAAACAAAAATACACACGGGAACGCGGGCGGGAATCGATATTTCGCGCGAACGGTAAATACAATTTTTACGAGTGCGGCAAAGCTGCGCGGCGGCGGGTCCGCTCCTCCTCACGCTTTTATTTTTACACCGGGCTCAAGGCAATCCGGCGAACGTTTAATATGGGAATAAAAACCGGTGTTTACGAAGAAGAGTGTGAGTCGAGGAGCCGTGCAAATTTTTGCACGCCGCTCTCCTTTAAATAAACCCGGTTACGTTATAATAAAAACCAGATGTGTGAAACAAAGCTACTGGAGTAATATTGAACATAAAAGTTGTATTATCAGTCGATTAAATATATAAATTGTATTCGGTTACGGGGGACGGGTGAGAACGTGCAGAAGGGGTGCTAAGTTCTTACCAAAGATAGAGCGTTTGCGTCCGACTAGGATTGCGAGTCACGGGGCACTGAGCTTGCAAGACACATCGAGGCCAACAGCTAGCAAGCCTCGCGACTCCTAAAGCTCGACTAACCGCCCCCTTCCGCCCCATATCGGCGCCACCCCCGTTCCTAACCACGCGTCGACATCCGTTATTTTCCCGATTTCGATTAACGCTTCTACATAATGCTTTTATAAAAGATTCCATGACAATCCATTCTCGAATCAACCTGAAATCTTCATACCTCTATGGCAATCAAACTTTAGACACAAGAATTCATAAGGTAATAGGCTTACTCGTGTACTTCGTTCGTGTTATTAATAATAATTGCTATCGAGATAAATTGCTGACGAAACAATCGAGTTGGGAGAAGGTAAGGTCAAAAGAGACTAGGCGAATCAATTGCACGGTGGAAGCTATTACCTCCGGAACAGATTCTATTAAGAGTTTCCCAAGAGCTAGAGAAGTTACCTTTGCTGTTCGGAAGTAAACGGTTCCTACAAGATAAAGTCCCGGGCTAATGTTATTTTAAATCAACGATATTTCTTCCAAATCTTGGCGATAACCATTTTTAATTAACACTCGAACAAACAAAGGACAGGGCATTATCAACTTTTCATCGGTGGAACAAAACTGTTTCGCAAATGGCTTCCGAAGCCCTTGTAATCGCTACAAGAATGCGAACAGAATTTCTAACAAAACGATTACCGTCCACCGTCAGGGACGGCGGGATCTAGATCGATGATCGACGAAAATTGACCTAATGGCCAGACCTTGACCGGAACGTCTCGATCGACTTCACTAAAAGACGCGTGGCAACCTTCCCACGCTTATCAATCACGCGTTATCGCCTTTGCATTCTCCATCCAACGTTTCAACAGAATTTACGGAGAGATACAAGAAATGATATTAAATTTTACAAACATTTGCCTTGTAATAAAATGTAACATAAACCTTGTTAAAAAATTTTTCCTTCACCAATACGAAGAAAAATGACGTAGTTTAAATTGAAAAATTCTCTGTTGAATAAACAAGATGCGACGCTTGAAATGTTAATAAGAAGTAATAAAATTCAGTGTTTTCCTTGAAAACAACGTCGGAAATAAAGCGTGGGTGGACATCCTTACCTCACGGAAACGCGATAGCTCTCGTTCTGCTGTTCGATCCTGGCGAACAAACCCTCGCAGAGACGCGGCGTGAGACCGGGATCCTCCTGGAACAAAAACGAAACCTCGTTAGCCATTCCGCGTTTCTGAAAAACGAGTAGACCAAGTCGGCCGGAAAAATTACGTATCGTTAACTATCGGTCATCGAAATGTCCCAGGGCGATCCGGGTCCCCATAATTGAAACCGGTACGTGTTCGACGTATAACCGCAACACGTGCTGCGCTTTCAAAAAAAAAAAAAAAAAACCCCTGCCCGGTTCGTTGTCCCCCGTTACGAAGCCACGGGGCAATTTAATTAAGCGCCACCGCGGCCGGAAAAAAACAGTTTCAATTTGCCGAGAAACCGGAAAAAGAACGCCGCCCATTTTGCGCGTCAATTAAACCGAGCCGGGCCTCCGACCGGAGCCCATCCCGAATTGTGCCCAAGAAATCAGGGATAAAATTCTCAGAACCTCGTTTAACGCATTTCCCATTGGTTTCTTAATCAAGAACGTTCGTAGTATAAAGATTGCAAAAATCTGCGAATACCTTGGTGCCCATCATGGTATACGTTTTCCCAGAAGCACTCTGTCCATAAGCCACCAGGCAGGCATTGTATCCAGAGAAGACGGCGTCCAGGACTGGTTCTCCCAAAGTCTGATAAATCTTGGCCTGGTCTGCGAAATTCTCCGCCTGCGGTTTGGACGAGTCGAAGCAGTAATCGAAACCATATTTCCGCGTGCGTTCGCGGCTGTCCCCAGCCTTGCTCGACGAGACTTTCAGGTTTGTCAACGAGATCTCGTTCGAGTTCGTGCGGACGACCACCTCCGACCCCGTTAGATTCGACTCTCTGCGAAGAGAAAACCTGGCCAGTGATTAAAAGTGCCGATAAAACTGTAAAAATTCGTTTGCCAGGTGTCGTCCCTTTTCAAAGAAAATTCCATTTTTCCATAAAGGCTATTTCTATACAGCGCGCTCACGCTTACTCTCTCTTTGAATAGTTTTTACTCGATCCCCAGCACAGAGTCGAATACGGCGGTAATATAAAATTAAAAACGCTTTAGAAAGCTATGAAATTATTCGACATGTTCCAATGCGCCATTAGCGCGCACAGAAGAAACGTTATAATTCTTTATACCATCAGTTTTAATTAAACTGATTCTATCGATATTCGTGCCATGATCTACGTGCTCAAACGCAATTGATTCTTCAATTGACTGATTGAGAAACGCAATCGATCTGATTCATGGATCTGGCTTCGCATTCCGTGGCGTGACGAGAGACAGGTAAAAGCTTACACGTTGCCACTCAGTCGCGTGTGACACATACGAACGGATGTGTAGAAGAAGTTGAAGGTGCTTTAACCCCGGTCCTCGCGTGATCCTATCATGGCCCTGTTCGCCCCCTAATCGCAACGATTCCGTGCCACGTATCCAGCTTTTTGCGAAATTAATACTCGCCGGGTCTTTTGAACAGCGAAATCGGTGCAATTCCATAAAAGTTTCTACATGGATAACTCAGAGCGAAGACTAATAAGTAAAACAAATTGACAAGGAATAAAATGACGATTGTACACAGCATCGATCCGGACGCTGTGCGACCAATTCCATTTAACGTTTCCTATTTCGCGCAAACGCGTCTATCAACCCCATCGATCATCGATTCCCAGGAAACCAACGACAGAGATCCAACCGGCGATCCGTCCGCTCGTGGATGGTCTCCCGATCTGACAAACCGGCCTAGGACAATACTTCATTCACGAATGTACCGTCCACATCCCTCAGAGATATTCTAACATATGTTCCCATCCATTTTGCGAAATCTCACAATATCGATTATTAATAATAAATAAATTGATATTTTACTTAGCATACAAATCCANCGAAAATTTTTTTTTGTTGTTTATTATTAGCAATGTTCTTCCGACGTCTGATTTCTTTTTAAAAAATGCGTTTCTAAAGTGCATAAACTTTTCGGATTGACTGTATAGCCAATACATCCTTAATCGAGATACGTAGAGCTTCCTAATTATCGAAGAGAATAACGAGTTCGTTTTAGGAAAATAGTTATTCCAAATTTAATGGCTCTAATTTCATCGCCGACTGCTCATTACGCTCTCCCGAGCAATTGTTAGTTTGTCTTACTTTCCAACGTCCCGGTCCCATCCTTCTAAGTATAGAAACGAGTTCATAAGTGTCTGCTCAAAGGCGCACCGCGCCGCGCCGCACCCCTATAAATCTGCCTTCAGATCTCTGTCCTCGTTCGTTTCACCGGCTCGAAAATAATTATCTTCCGACTGTACGCGCGTGTTTGCCCGAGTCGATTACCGGTCCTCGTAAAACGGTGGAAAAATGAAGTTGTGGTGAACAACGAGAAAGCCTTGACCTTAAGCAAAATGGGTAAAGAGAACGAGGTTTTCTTTGCTTTTATGTTCTCTGAAATGTAGCTTGAAATTCGCGACAACTCTTGCATGGTTTTATTCAATCGATCACGATAAATCCATGGATCTTCTAATGATTTCGTCTATTTGAAAATATTATTTATGTAATTAATTGATGATCGTTTGTAAAACTCACCTGGCAGAAATCGGTCTTATTCGAACTGCCACCTTGATGTTGGCCATATTGCCATCACGCGGACAATATCAGCTAACTCCCATCGCACTTCCTGTTTCCGTTGCTTAGAAATGTTTAAAAGACGATTCGCGTTGCATTTCGGCGAACACTCGACGGAGTAAGAACTAAGAGAACTGTGCGTGCACTGGCCGGGTGCACGTGTTGTACTGTTGCGATGAAAATACCCTCGAGTCGCTTCCCAAGACCATTCGCCGATGGCTTACCCCACCCAGACTGAGAGAAGTCGACGGAACTCGTTACATTTTGCCTAAAACTGAACTGCGAACGCTGTCCTCCTTCCAACTAAAGAATTCTTATCCTTTGCCTAGAATTATTTATCCGATTAGCTCGATCGCAATCGTATTGTTTGATCGGATAATTGAAATTATGGACTGTGTAAGCAGTGATCTCCGTGTGTATTACTCGAGATAATTAAGGAACACTGGTTGCATGGTTTGGTAAATGGAGCATGCCTCGAGATGCTTAGGCTTATAATAAGCTAGGAGTTTGGTAAACAGGTCTGTGTAAATATACAGATCTGATCTCTGGCCTTGTAAGAAATACCTCTCCAACACAGGGAGTGATAGCGTGCTAACAAAATTAAAAGATCATTCGCTGGACCTATTACCCAATTTATTGTAAAACCTTCCACCGTATCATCAAGCATCGAGAATACCTTCGGACCATACTTTGGTTTACACGGATATTTATAGGCTAGTGGAACGACTAATGTATTCTTTGTGGTTTGAGTCATCGGGGAACCGTAAAGCGTTGTCCAAGCTCGTTTTCATCGGTAAGGCTGTTAGTCGTCGTTAGTCGCTGTGAGCACCGTAAAGTACGAGAACGATGTGCTCAAAACCTGTGCAAAACGCAGACGAGACTCCGTTATAAATAACGCTGATAACGATGAGCCGCGGGGAATCTGTTTAAAGAACTATTTCTACTTACCGACGAGAAACTTTGCAGAGACATGCTGTAAAATTTCGCCGCTGTTATCTTGCTAGGACTCCTCGAGCGCAACATCATGATCTGAAGACTCTTGGCAAAACGGCTGCCGATCCATCCACTCGCATAAGCAGAGTCACCCACAGCCTCGCTCTACATAAATACGATTTAATAATCATTTTCACGAATCGTGTTCGTTTTTATTACATCGGGATTTAATGAAGACCTCGTCGATCAATCCGTCCCCGCTGAAGCTGAACATGAATAACTCGAGGATGGCGGAGTTCAAGAAGGTCGAATATTTCAGCAGACGTCCTTTGTCCTTCATCATCTACAAAGATTGTTCTTTTATTATAGAGAGCTTGTAAGCGTGAGCGAGAACGCACCGAAGTAATTTGAAATCCTGCGAAGCAGATCAGACCCGTGCTAATAATGAATTGCCCCAAAGCCAGGACATTTATGATCCTCTCCAATGCATCTGCGTACCTACAGCAAATTTATTCCATCGTAGAGCTATGGAAACATTTAGTAATAGCATGATTTATTTGAAAAATCGAATTTCTTTCAATATAATTGAAATTAGAATAGAATTAATAAAATTGAATGAAAGTGAAAAATCAGAACTACTCTATGGCTCGTTGATGTCGAATCACGTAATCTCGCAAGACGGAAGTAGATTCAGGATCATCGCCGGTCAGATTCTCTAGCCTCTTCCTCAGAACTGCAAATTTTCCCGAGCCGTGCATTATCACGATCAGATTAAAGCTAGTTGCACCCGCGATCATGCTACCCCCGAAACCACCCGCGGTCACGTTAAATAAATAAAGGCATTCGAAAACGGGCGACACGGTTTGGTTGATGAAGAAGTAGCCGCGGAACGGGAGCACCTTTTCGCTGGCACCCAACACGTAGATCTATAAAATAGATATTTAGTTCAATTTACGCTTCCTATTTATTCAGTATGTACGTACTTCCAAAGCGGGAACAGTCATGAACATAATTATAGTTATAGCAACGGTGCTGATGAAGTATTTTGCTAGACGAAAAGCGAACATCGTCTTCTCAGCAAGAATTGCTCGATCCTCGACCGTAGACGAGAGCCAGTCATCTTTCATCGTGTTTACTACATAGAGCATGTCCTTTTGATGAAGCGAGTAGACCGTCATACGAACCACGCAAAGGCAAAAAGCTGTACAAATTAAAGCGCACTCGGTTGCCTCGTCCAAATCATCGAGTAAGTGAATCACGTCCGCCGTCACCGCAATCGACATCACCACTACCTAACGACAATTCCCTTGATCAAAGCCGGTCGTTATATTTGAAAATCACGAAATCGTTCGAACTCCGGTTTCATTTTTTAATTCACTGATTAAAAAAAGAGGCACTTACTAAAAAAAACATACAGAACAAGTGGAACTTTCTGAACATAATTCTTCTCGAGCTGCTGTTCTCTGGCAAGGGCCAAATAGAAATTATGTGACCAGTTATCATAATCGGTTTAATCAACTTATCGTAATCCTCTTCGTGAAACGCTTCAATCTTCGTATTCATCATTCTTAAACGTAATTGAAAATAAACTTATCACTTCTAATTTTCACTTTATGAAACGGATATTTCTGGAATACCTCGTGGTTCTAACATGAATCCTTCAGTCAAGCGATGTGAACGAGGAACCCGTAAAAAAATGCTGCTGCGAGCGACCGGGGGGGGCGATTGGTAGTGCAGGTAACAATTGTCCTTCGTGAGCGGTAGATCGTTCACGCTAGTACTTTGTACAACTACGTATCGCGTGCAACTTTGCCAATTCTTCTCGTCGTGAATAGATAAATAATGCAGGGAAATAACTGTAATGTAGGGAAATAACTGTTCTTTATTCAAGAATACAGTTCTATCGAAAGAACTACCTACAGTTTTAGCTTTCTTTTTCTTCTCGGTGATGCAGAAATTACGGTATTTGTGAAGATTTCGTATCGGTATAGTTTCGAAACAACTACTTGGATTGATTCTACGAATGTTCTATGCAAGAACTTATTTAGTAGAAATCTATTTCCTGTTTCATGTTAGGATATACCATGAAGGACGGTCTCTCCCGTTCTTTCCTGATCTTTCCCGTTAAGATATCGTAATAAAACTTGAGAAACATTTATATAAATCCTTCCTGAACGCGTTTCTTACATTTCGATCAATTCCGAGCAGTAGAGTAATTATCCTTTGACAAATTCACGTTAATAAATAAAAAATAAATCTATACCAGTTTGTATCGATTTCGAACGATGTTAAGCGCACACTTTAGTTCCGTATTTTGTCACGGAGGCAGCATCTAATGGACATGAGATTGAAAAGCGAAATTTTGAAAAATGCAAATATCAAGATTTGTAATGTGCCAATTGTGATAAAATTTTAGAGGCATGTTCAACAAGGATTTATCTGAATATCTCCCGAATTTCATTAAAATATCTCAATGGGAGAGCAAAGAAAAACCTGATACCATTTTAGATGTGTAACTAATTTTCCCGTTGTAGATAACGTCGGCTTTGATATTAAAATGATAACATGCAAGTACTATAAGATGGTTTAGGTATACTT